CACTAGGCATGACTGACGTCACATCGGACACGTCCGACATCACTCCCGGTGACGGGACGGGCGACTGGGGCACAGACCCGGGGGGCAGCACCACAGTAACCCTCACGGGGAAGGGCCGGGGCGTCACAGGGCCGGGCCGGGGCGTCACGGGGCCGGGCCGGGGCGTCACGGGGCCGGGCCGGGGCGTCACGGGGCCATGGTCAACAGACGGCGAGTGGGACACCACGGTGACGTCACTGTCAGAGACGTCAGACGGCGCGGGGGAGCCTCCATCACCGTCGGTGACGTCATCGGCGGCCGGCCGGCCACCGGAGCCGCGCCGGTCGGCCAGCGGGCTCGACACACTCGAGCGGGGCGAGCCGGGGCCGGGGTCAGAGGCCGAGCCGCGGACGGGGGCCTCGGGAGGGGTGAGCGGGGGCAGGGAGACGGCGTCATCACCCGGGGCTGGTCGGTCAGTGTCAGCGGTCGGCGGGAGGGACGGCGTGTCCACGTGGACGGGGGAGCGGCGGCACAGGCGGGCATGGTTAGTCAGGCCGCGCCGGGTCGTAAAACTCCGGCCACACCAGCAGCGGTGGGGCATGGCCACCGGGCCGGCGGCGGCCGGCTGCGCGAAACAGCCGTGCCGGGACAGGTGGTAGGGCAGCTCCTCGTGACAGCCCCCACAGACCCACTGGGCAGAGGTCAGGTCCACGTGGCAGCGAGCGATATGACGCTTCAAGCTTTGCCGAAGCACTGACGGACCGGTGTTGGCGTACCGCGTCCCACAGTTCTCCACTGGGCACATGAGCAGGCCGGGGAGAGGGAACGGGAGCACCAGTCGGCCATCCACGAGAGTGGGCTGGGTGTCCGCCGCCCGGGGAAGGGACACGGGGGGGTCATGGTGCGGTGACACAGACATGGTATGAGAGACGCAATAGCACAGCGAGGCAATACAATACACTACACCAACTCACACCACAACACAGCACAACACAAGCCAGTGAGTCGGGGGGCGCCGGCTCGGGCACCGGGAAACCACGCGGCGAGGCCGGGACCGAAAGACAGAGTAACGCGGGCGGAACAAGGACAATTTAGGTGCGAAACAAGCCGAAAATGGGTATAATTAAGGCATACGATATCGAATAAAGAATTAGCAAAAACAAGAAACGTTGATCAGCAGGCCGGCGTTAGAAGAGAAAAGGGCGGGAAGGGAGTTCAAATTCAAAGGTTTGGCGCCAAATCCCAACGGTCTGGGTTTTGGCGCGAAACCTTTGAAAACCGGTCAACGGCTGAAGGCCGTTGCCCGGAAGCCGGGGGGGGGGGGGGAGAGGCAGTCGCCGCGCGGTCTCACCTGGTGTAGAGCAGCAGCAGCGCCCCCTCCTCGGCAGGCGGCGACGGTGGCGACACCACGCGGACTGGCACAGAAACACTGCACACCACAGATCCGACAGGGAATACAATTCCCGACCTTTTGGCTAAAATCAAAGTGAAAAGCGCCTCGCGCGACTTCAAAATAGGTCAACAAACCCACAGATACTACACTTTGATCTTAGCCAAAAGGCCGAGAAGCGATACTTAAGCACAACACTTTTAGATACTTATGCAGTTAAGGGATAACTATTAGTACTAGTAACGATGCAGAGCTATAGCGTGAGCGCTAGTGGCCACGGCGAGTGATAAGAGTGGTCCATTATGTTACATTCAAAGTATACGCAGTTTCAGTTTATCCTCACCATGGTAAGTATCTGTAAGCACAAAAGATCGCCAAACTCGAAATAATTTCGAATTAGTGGCTCTCGACCGTGCGTTTGTACACACGCAAATGGAGACGGCGGCGCCGCGCCGACAGTTATCAGTGGTGCGACATCAGATGGCAGCACAGTCGAACACCACGACGTATGGCAGCGCTCTACCCCCCCCCCCTAGCTCTACCCCCCCCCCCCTAGCTGCATGCAGACAAAAGCATGCATCGCAAAAGTACGTATTGCACATGTACGTCAGCAAAAGTACTGATTAATCATGTACGTAACGAATAAGGCACGTATCGACAAAAATGTATCTTGATAGTAGTTAATGGCCGTTTTCACGACGGTCTATCCGGCGAATGCACCTGATGTGATCAAATCTGCACGTACTTTCTTTTACAGCAAATAGCTTCATTTTATGAATTTATTACAGTGTTTTAATCGATGATGCTCTCTGAAAATATGACAAATCAGGCATATAAGAAATTAGTGCATATAAGTGCTAGCTGATAGCTGCTAAGAGGACACACTGAACCTGATTTGACCAATTCTGCACTTTATCTGTACCACCTGTGCATCAAATGTGTACCAGATGGCCGTCGTGAAAACGGCTAATATGAATAAATAAAGCATTTGTCAGGACCTTACCAAAGCACAGATGTAAGGAATGTCGATAGATACTGCTATTTTTCCAGTTACTTTTTTCATTTCGATATACGATTGCACGCCTCACGCTATAGCAAAACTAATAAAAAGAGAAAAGTTTTAAAAGCATATGATGCTTTACGTAAGGCAAAGCTGTCGTCACCCACAACTTCCCACACGCCCCCCACTGTCCATCACTGATACCGAATGAATAGTGATAAAGATGTCAGCTTTACAGGTACCTCAGTTAGATGATGATGCACCGTCTTTACTGAGTTTCACCAGATAGAGCGGCCTTTCCAGTCACATTTTAGGACGCCGATGCACCGTGTACTTGAAAGATGTCGATTGTCTGGGAACAAAATAAATGCGTGAATTAATTCGCCTATTGTAGCGGTTATCGTGGCTCGGGTCGGGGGCGGCACGTAGTAGTGGAATTCGAGAAAAAAAAACGTCTATAATCATAATGATATTGATTGGGTCATTTTTCTTCATGACCTGAGATGACCTCAGGGACATTGAGGGGTCACAGGTACAATTTGCCGATACCCGCATTTTTATTCCATTTAGTATGAGCGTTTGTCTATGACCATGATCAAAAAGAGGCGTATTTTCATGTTTTGTCAATTTTTATTGTCATATATCTTAAAAGTATCTTTATCCTTTTATTTTCACCACATATCACAACGCATGATAACAAAAGTGGGCCGATCCTGGCTGTAGTGCAATGCCAGGCCAACCCGCGGCAGGGCTGGAGCAAGCTCCAAAAACCCCGCCAAAGTCCAAAAATCAGTTTAATATTCTGGTCCCCATGTAGGGGACGTATCAGATATTAAGCTGATAAGAACAGATACTACACTTTGATCTTAGCCAAAAGGCCGAGAAGCGATACTTAAGCACAACACTTTTAGATACTTATGCAGTTAAGGGATAACTATTAGTACTAGTAACGATGCAGAGCTATAGCGTGAGCGCTAGTGGCCACGGCGAGTGATAAGAGTGGTCCATTATGTTACATTCAAAGTATACGCAGTTTCAGTTTATCCTCACCATGGTAAGTATCTGTAAGCACAAAAGATCGCCAAACTCGAAATAATTTCGAATTAGTGGCTCTCGACCGTGCGTTTGTACACACGCAAATGGAGACGGCGGCGCCGCGCCGACAGTTATCAGTGGTGCGACATCAGATGGCAGCACAGTCGAACACCACGACGTATGGCAGCGCTCTACCCCCCCCCCCCCTAGCTCTACCCCCCCCCCCTAGCTGCATGCAGACAAAAGCATGCATCGCAAAAGTACGTATTGCACATGTACGTCAGCAAAAGTACTGATTAATCATGTACGTAACGAATAAGGCACGTATCGACAAAAATGTATCTTGATAGTAGTTAATGGCCGTTTTCACGACGGTCTATCCGGCGAATGCACCTGATGTGATCAAATCTGCACGTACTTTCTTTTACAGCAAATAGCTTCATTTTATGAATTTATTACAGTGTTTTAATCGATGATGCTCTCTGAAAATATGACAAATCAGGCATATAAGAAATTAGTGCATATAAGTGCTAGCTGATAGCTGCTAAGAGGACACACTGAACCTGATTTGACCAATTCTGCACTTTATCTGTACCACCTGTGCATCAAATGTGTACCAGATGGCCGTCGTGAAAACGGCTAATATGAATAAATAAAGCATTTGTCAGGACCTTACCAAAGCACAGATGTAAGGAATGTCGATAGATACTGCTATTTTTCCAGTTACTTTTTTCATTTCGATATACGATTGCACGCCTCACGCTATAGCAAAACTAATAAAAAGAGAAAAGTTTTAAAAGCATATGATGCTTTACGTAAGGCAAAGCTGTCGTCACCCACAACTTCCCACACGCCCCCCACTGTCCATCACTGATACCGAATGAATAGTGATAAAGATGTCAGCTTTACAGGTACCTCAGTTAGATGATGATGCACCGTCTTTACTGAGTTTCACCAGATAGAGCGGCCTTTCCAGTCACATTTTAGGACGCCGATGCACCGTGTACTTGAAAGATGTCGATTGTCTGGGAACAAAATAAATGCGTGAATTAATTCGCCTATTGTAGCGGTTATCGTGGCTCGGGTCGGGGGCGGCACGTAGTAGTGGAATTCGAGAAAAAAAAACGTCTATAATCATAATGATATTGATTGGGTCATTTTTCTTCATGACCTGAGATGACCTCAGGGACATTGAGGGGTCACAGGTACAATTTGCCGATACCCGCATTTTTATTCCATTTAGTATGAGCGTTTGTCTATGACCATGATCAAAAAGAGGCGTATTTTCATGTTTTGTCAATTTTTATTGTCATATATCTTAAAAGTATCTTTATCCTTTTATTTTCACCACATATCACAACGCATGATAACAAAAGTGGGCCGATCCTGGCTGTAGTGCAATGCCAGGCCAACCCGCGGCAGGGCTGGAGCAAGCTCCAAAAACCCCGCCAAAGTCCAAAAATCAGTTTAATATTCTGGTCCCCATGTAGGGGACGTATCAGATATTAAGCTGATAAGAACAGATTTTTTTTATTCAGAAAAGTACATGGTGATAACAAACAGTGGGACATACAAACAAAACAAATCATAACGGCGGCAACAGTCATGCCGGTCCGTTTTACAAACCATGCACAGAGATAAATAAGCCAATAGTTACAGACCCCGGAGGGTCACCATGGCGGTCGGCCACACACCCCGGGCAAGGCTGGCGGGAGGATCGGGGAGGGGGAGGAGGGAGGCGGCAGTGGGGGAGGCACCACGGCGGGCCGGCGCGGCGGGCCAGGGAGGGAGGGGAGGGGGTTGCTGGGGATCTGCACCACCATCACCATCACCAAAGCAGGGCACCGCCAGCTGTGCGCCCCGGCACCGGCTGGCGGTCCGACGCGTCGGTCGGGGCGGCCACTGGGGCCCACCTGCCCGCCGCCGTAGCGGCCCACACCATCACCAGAGCAGCGCTCCCCGTGTGACGCTACCATCTAAGCACTAAGCGGCACCAGGCCTGCATCCGTGCCTCACCATCGTGTGGTGAGCCGCACCACGCCATCACCATGGCCGCCCGTCACCAGCCACCAGGCACCAAGCCAGGGAGAGGGAGTCCGGGGCCCTCCCGGCCCACACCGGCCGAGACCCACCGGAGGGCGCCGACCCCACACCACCGCCTCGGGGCAGGGAGGGCACCGTGACCCCGTGCGGCATCGGGGAGGGTCGACCGACAGCGGCCGGCCACGACCCCGGGGCTACAGGGGACAGAGGGTGCCGGGGAAGGGGGGGGGGTAGAGGGGGGCCAGACGAGCCCTGGGTGCGGGCCGACCGAGACGGGCAGCACATCGGTGCGACACACATCAGCGAATCGTACAGGGACGCTGGGCGTCATCAGACCAAACAGGTTAGTCAGCGTAAGGTCACTGAGCGTCAATGACTGGTCGGTGGCAGCGGGGCCACGGACGACAGGGCAGCCTCGATCGGCATCAGGCTACGAACAGAACACAGCCATCAGCAATAGTCGGCCACAAAGGGCATCCGGTCTGGACGAACACATATCTACTACGTTTGTCGGTGGCAGCAGGGTCCACGGACGGCAGGAGGCCACGAATAGGGCTCCACACACAAACATACAGCTGGCGCTCCTAGTCAATGGATCGGAGACGGTATGCGCCACTTACACTACATGGTACGTACATATTGAGTTCGAACAATATAATGACAGATTGGCGGTAGTCGCCAATACAGAGCTCCATAAAGACATCGGTACGAACATACAATAGCGGGCCGGCGGGCCAAGCTCGGCACGGGCAAACAACAACGTGCCTATGGTCTGTCTATATGGACCAGTACTGGCGTACACATTATCCCCACTCCACCCGTCCCTTCCCACCCCACCCCACACTCCCACATACACTATAGCACACACATGGGGTCGGTCCGAGCCGTCACCTCATAACGCTGACCGGGAAGAGAGAAACGGTCGGTAAGGCGGTGGACGGTGGATCCGACTGGGACCTGAGGGGTCCGACGGGGACCTGAGGGGTCTGACTGGGACCTGGGTGGTCCGACTGGGACCTGAGGGGTCCGACTGGGACCTGAGGGGTCCGACTGGGACCTGAGGGGTCCGACTGGGACCTGAAGGGTCCGACTGGGACCTGAGGGGTCCCTAGCGGCCACTATCGGTGACAGGCATGTCGGTCACGCCGAGTCAGGCGGTGACGGACAGCAGATGCGAGTATATGTTACAATGTAGACACACATCACACAATAATTACATGACAATCCCATCCCACCCCTCCCCTATTCCACCCCAACACTCCCCACCTACCGCACTGCAGTGGCCGTCACTACTGACGGGTACTGTCACTGGTTAGAGCTGCTAGCTCACGGAGTTCTCAATGACCGCGATCACCGGCCCTGGGGCGGCCGCGAGTGGGGTCACACGATCAGTCACGGGGAGCCAGGGCCGGCACAGGTCGGTGCCGGCCGGCCAGGCGGTCACGGGAGACAGCCCACGGGCGGCCCCGGCGGACAGCCCACGGGCCGCTACGGCAGATCGTCTACGGGCGATCACGGTGGACCGTCTACGGGCGGCCACGGCCAGCGGAGGCCACTGTCCGCCACCACACTCCCGTCCCACCCCGTCCCATCACTCCCACCCCAACACTCCCCACCCCACGTCACTGCGGCGCGCACATCACCGAGCGGTGACGTCACGACTGTCCGTCACTGAGACGGCAGCGAGCCGACGGGCACCAGCGGGCACCGACGAGCCCAGACCGACGCGGCGGTCAGGGCACCACGCGCACTAGTTCGCGACGCGGTCGCTAGACGGCGCCAGCCGGCGCCGAGCGACGGGTGCCGCGGCACCAACGAGCGCCGGCCGACGGGCCGGAACAGTCTCCAGCCCGCAGCGGCGGGCGCCGGCACGGGGTGCGGCCCGGCGCACCGACAGCCCCGACCGACCGACAGTCTCGGGGAGAACGGTCGGCGCCGGGCGGCGGGGCGCAGCGCGGCGCACGGACAGCCGCGGTCACGAGCCGGGCGGCGGTCACGGAGGTGGCCACCGAGAGGGCGGCCACCGGCTTCGGCCACTTGAAGGGGCCGCCGGGAGGGCGGCCACCGGCCACAGGCAGCGGCCGCTTGATGGCGACCACCGAGAGGGCGGCCACCGGCTTCGGCCACTTGAAGGCGGCCGCCGGGAGGGCGGCCACCGGCCACAGGCAGCGGCCACTTGACGGCGGCCACCGAGAGGGCAGCCACCAGCCACTTGACGGTGCGCCAGACACCAGCAGTCGACAGGGCCGGCACCAGACGGCACCAGCCGACGGGCCGGCACCAGCGGCACCAGCGGCAGGCGGCGGCCACGGGCAGCGGCCGCCGAGCCCCGGTCACCGGTCCAGCGTGACCGGGCGGAGAGCGCCGCAGGGCGGCCGACGGACGCCAGGAGCGGCTTGGCGGTCACCGGAGGCGACCCCAGGTCACCGGCAGGCGACCACGGCAGCGGCCACCAGACGAGGGGCAGCCACGGCCACCGGGGGCAGCCACGGCCACCAGGTGAGGCGGCTCCAGCAACCGGGGGCAGCCACCACGGCCACCGGGGGCAGCCACGGCCACCAGGTGAGGCGGCTCCAGCCACCGGGGGGCGGCCAGCCGCCAGACGGGCAGCCTACAGCCGCCGGCAGGGCGGCCACGGCCACCGGTCACGGCCAAGGGTCACCGGCACACACCGGCACCCACCACCACACACAGTGACACGGGTCACGGGGGGGGGGGGGCGGACACCGGGCGGCGGACACACCGGTCAGAGGGCCGCGGACACACCGGTCAGAGGGCCACGGACACCCCGGTCAGAGGGCCGCGGGCAGCGGGGGCGGCCAGGTTAGCGGCTACTGTGTGAGCGGCCGGTCAGCTGGGGTCAAGTCGGATGGCGACGGCCAGGTTGGCGGTCACCAAATGGCCACGACAGAGCAGGCTACTCGGTCTCGGACGGTCAAGTCAGCGGGTCAGCTCAGATTAGGCCGGGCCACGCAGGCAGGTCAACGAGTGGCACAGCCACCGTGAGGCGGCTGCCTACACAGCACTGACTGCTGCTGTTAGGCAGACACCCAGGGCACACATACACGTACAAATACAAACACACAATTGACACAGTAACAAACACTTAACAATAACACGTGACCACAGAACACACTGACGGCCACAAACATGAGACACAGATAGACATAACAATGAACAAAAACACCACAAACTACACTCATACGGCCCTGGGGTCGACCGGACGGGGCAGCGCGCTCAGTACTGGCGTGTCCCGGTAATGTGTTCAATATAAATGTCGCGTGACCACCGCAGCGTATCACTCACCATGAGTTTACGCATGAGACGGGCGTACACGCGGGACACGCGCAGCTGACGCAGCGTCCTCTCGTTGGACCGCACCCACGTCCCCAGGGATCCCAGCACGAGGGCATGCACGGAGGCCGTCTTGCCCTGCCGCCGCAGCTCCTGGACGAGGGGCGCGTACTTGCGCTCCTTGTCAGCGGCGGCGGCGCGGAGGGCCTCGGGGCGGTTTTCGAAGGCAACAGTGACATCAACGAGTGACACGTGGTCGCCCCGGGTCACCACCAGGTCGGGGCGGAGGGCGGAGTCAATGCCGGGGACACGTCGGTTCACCCGGACCTCGTCCCCGGGGAAGACCGGCGTGGCGCGCTCCAGCCGGGCCAGGATGGCGTCGTGCCGCAGCTGGTACGCCTCCGCGTGTGCCTGCAGACAATGGTTAGTGACGTGCGGGAGGGTCTCCTGCACGTACCCGCAGCGCCGGCACCGGCGGTCAGCTCCTGCTCGGCGGGAGTAGGCGTTGAGGGGCACGAGCGAGAGGCGGGCACGGTGGACAAATCGCCAGTCGGCGAACCGGGTGAAGCTCCCATTATACATATAATGGGAGCTCACCGGCTGGTCGGCGACGCAGGCCAGGACCTTCCCCTGCTGCGGCATCTGGGTCAGCTCACGCAGCTCGGTCTGGCGGACCGCCTCCCGGAGCGCGCGCGACTCACGCCGCGGCTCCACGTCCGCCTCCCCCACCTGCAGGACAGGGGGGTCAGCGGCGCGCCAGCGGACGGCGGCGCGGCGGGCGAGGGCGGTGGTGGCCACACGGGTGCGGGTCGAGCGGCAGGACACGCCGCCGCCGTCGTCCCGCATCGGAGCGCCGTTGAGGTACTCGGCGAGGTCAGCCGGGGTCGGGTCACGGCGGACACGGCGCCGGGCGGCACCGATCAGCTCGGCGGCCGCCAGCTCGGCCACCGCTGGGTCACGGGAGTGGAGGAGGCGCTGGGTGGCCGCCGCCAGCAGGATGTCGGCCTCCTGTGAAAAATGGGTCAGGCCGACCCCGCCGGCAGTGGTCGGGCTGTAGAGGTACCTGTTGGTCGAGTTTATTGGCAGGTGCAGGATACCTTTGACCCGCCAGCGGAGTGACCTGTCAAAAGCGGCCAGGGCGCCCTTGGGGATCACCCCCAGCCGCAGGCAGTGGGTCAGACGGGGGGCGATGAACGTCCTCACGGCGTCCAACTTCTGCCACGGGGCCAGGGGCGACCCCAGGAGGCGGGCGGCGTCCCGGCGCGCCTCAGCCACCACCTGTAGGGGCGGCTGGGACAGTCGGGTGTGGCCGACAGGCCGGCCCAGGTACCTGTAGGCCCCGTCCCGGTCAATGAGGGGCAGGGGGGCACCGCACAGGGTGGCGGGCGGGGAGGGGGCGCCGACGGAAAGCAGGGCCGACTTCCCCGGGTTGGGGGTCAGCCCCGCCCAGGCGCACACGCGCTCCAGCAGCGCCAGGCCGTCCTGCACCTCGCTGCGCCGGCTGAAAATGAGCGCCAGGTCGTCAGCGTAGGCCAGGCAGCGCACCTGGGCGGCGGCGAGGGCCCGCAGCAGCGGCTCCAGGGCGAGGGAGAAGAGGAGGCCGCTGAGGGGGCACCCCTGCCGCACGCCGCGCTGGCACGCCACCGGCGCGGTCAGGCCGTCCCCGGCCCGGTACCGGGTGGCGCTGCCCTCGTACAGGCCCTGCAGGACGGCCACCACCTCCTCCGGCACTCCGACCCGCTGCAGCACCTGCCAAAGGAGGCTGTGGGGGACCGAGCCGAATGCGTTGGTCAGGTCAATGAAGGCCACGTGGGCCTCCGTCCCGTCCTCCCGTGCGCTGTTGACGGCGCACTGGAGCACAAAGTTGTGCTCCAGCACGCCATCGAAGGGCCGGAAACCCTTCTGACCTGGTGAGAGGATGTCAGCCGCCTCCACCCACCCACTGAGCCGGTCCGCCCACACGCCGGCGTACAGTTTCGCCACCGTGGCGCCGAGGGCGATCGGCCGCCAGCTGTCGGGCCGGGTCGGGTCACCCCCCTTGTGGAGGAGGGCCGTCTCCGACACAAGCCAGGTGGGCGGGACGCGGCGCGCCAGCCGGCACAGCTCGAACGCCCGGGTCAGCAGCAGGGCGCCGGGGTCGAGGGCGCGCCAGGCGGCGTACCGCAGCCCGTCAGGGCCAGGGGCGGTGTTGGCCGCCCGCCGGAGACGGCCCCACACCTCGTCGGCTCGGAACGGGGCGGTCAGGGCCGGGGAGGGGGCGGCGGGGGTCAGGTCAGGGACCTCCTGCGGCCGCCGGTCCCACTCCACAGGAGGGCAGGGAGGAGGGGCGAAGTGGGCCGCCAGCTGCTCGCCGGGCACGGGGCACGGGGGCGTCTCCTCCCGCAGCACCTGCCGCACCGCCTTGTCCCTGTTGGCACGGTACAACTTTTGTAGCCGGCTGGCCTCCTCGGCCGCGTAGGCCGGCGGCTGCCAGGGCCGCCGGTGGTCCTCGGCCGGCTCCGGCTCCTGCTCCGCTGGCGGGGGGCGGGGCTCGCCGGCGGGAGGGGCGGCGGGGGGACGGTCAGCTGGCGGCCGCTCGTTCGGAGGGCGCCAGGGGGCGGGGCGCCGGCGCCGCTCGTGGTAGTCGGCGTTACGCCGGGCCGCCTCGGCGCACAGCCGAGTGAGCTGCCGCTCCACATCCTCCCACGGGGCGCGGGTCTCCTGCAGGGCGGTTAGGACCGGGAGGAACTGCTGCTGCAGCTCGGTCGGCTCCGGGCCCTGCTGGGTGGGGTCAGGGGCGCCGGCGGGGTCAGGGGCGCCGGCGGGGTCACCAGCACCTCCAGCACCACCACCACGGCCGGCACCACGGCCCCGACCACGGCCAGGGCCGCCGCGGCCACGGCCACGACCACCACCACGGCCACCGCCACCGGCACCACCGTCAGGGTCACCAGCGGGGTCACCAGCGGGGGCACCAGCGGG